AAATAAAACAAACTCACTCATTTGCAGAGGCAGGTCTTTTCCCAAGGGGCTGGGCCCGACACTGCGCCCAGGTACACAGGGCTGCAGCGCCACTCACTCAAATTTGGCCTGGCCACCCCATCGTCATCACAACGGAGGGGCGGCTGGGCCAAACCTCGGCGGTGCTGACCCCAGGCGCCACTGCGACCCTGTGGGCCGTGTTGCAATGCTCCAAGCAGGGAGCCGGGCCCAGTCAAGCAGGACAGGAGGCGCTGCTGTGGGGTGGGCTTGCCCTGCAACCCCCCTGGGTCTCTCCCCACCACGCAAGACCCAGTGCCCTGCCCCCTCAGGGCTTCCCACCTCCCCCCAGGGGCAGGCCCCAATTTCCCCTGCCTCCCACGTGGGTAAAATGGAACACCACTAAATTCCCCTCCCCCCCGGCAAAAAAACCAAACAATAAAAATAATGTCACGGGCTATAGTCATAGTACTCAGCACAGGTGAGCGCTCCACTGGACTACACTACCCAGAATCCTCAGCAGGAAGTGATGTGCACCTGTTTAGCAAGTTAAAAACCCAGCACACTGGATTGTTAACTGCACAACCTCCAGATCCTGGTCTTCCCTTCTTAACAACCAAAACCCTACAGCACAGAAAAAGGGTGTCAGGATTCTTACCTCGGAGGCAGGTTTTCCTATAGGGACCAAATTATTGTCTTTTTCGGCAATACTCTGCAGCTGGGGGTGGAAAACAGACAGAGGAAAGTCAGTCCGAAAAAGCTGATGCTACACAATGCCTCAGTACAGTACCCTGCACATCAAGCGTCGTAAGGGGATAAAAACCAGCCTTGGTTTTCCCCAGAAAGGTATTGCACAATAAGTCTATATCGGGGTGGGCAAACTTTTTGGCCCAAGGGCCACTTTGGAATTGCGAAACTTTATGGAGGGCCAGGTAGGGAAGGCTGTGCCTCCCCAAACAGCCTGGCCCCCACCCTCTATCCACCCACTTCCCACCCCCTGACTGCCCCCCTCAGAACCTCTGACCCATCCAACCCCCACCTGCTCCTTGTCCCCTGACAGCCCCCTCCTGGGACCCCTGGCCCCTAACCGCCCCCCGGGACTCCACCCCCTATCCAACCCCCCCTGCTCCCTGTCCCCTGACTGCCCCCCAGGACCTCCTGCCCCTTATCCAACCCCTCCTCACTCCCTTACCACACCGCTCAGAGTGGCAGGAGCTCGCAGCCGCGCCACTGCACTGCCCAGCAGGAGCGGTGGGCCAGAACGCCGGTGGTGCAGCGCACTGAGGCTGCGGGGGAAGGGGGACAGCGGGGGAGGAGCCGGGCGCTAGCCTCCCAGGCCAGGAGCTCAGGGACCGGGCAGGACGGTCCTGTGGGCCAGATGTGACCCGCAGGCCGTAGTTTGCCCACCTCTGGTCTATACCCTTTCCTTTAAAGCATCCGGAAGTGGCTATTGGCAGAGGCAGGACACCAGAGTAGATGGAGCAACTGACTGATCCATTATGCCAATTGCTAAGTAATCTGCAGCTCTTGGGTCACGAAAGATTCAAGGAGAAAGATCACTTCACCTGCCGCTGAAATGCAGCCACTTCTGGGTGGCAGCTGCTTAAAAAGTTGCCTTGTGTTATGTGCTTAGGCCAGCAAGTAGAGAAGACTGTTTGCAACTGAAACCACAGGCTGAATTTACACTAGAGATTGCCCACAGGCCCTGGGGCTCACAAAACAACTCTTATTAAAATTGCCAGGGGGAATATAAAGACCACAAGCGACCAGGGCCTTGATTGTACATCTCATCCGAACGAGGGCTCTCCCTGCAGCCCAGCTCTGCAGCATCATCAGCTCAGCACTGGATCACGGACGCCCCTTGCTGCAGCACAATCCTTCGAGGTCTCCCAACCCTGCTAAGCATGTTCTAGCCAATGCAGAGACTGAAGCAAAGAGAAGCCACAGAAGGAGGCAGGGTTAGAACCCAGGAATTCCTGACTCTCAGCTCTGTCCACTAAACCATGATGCTGGCTGCCCACAAGCAAGAAGGCATTTTGCTCCAATGCAGCACGAGGAATGCTGCTCCCTGCTCTACTTTAAGACGGCTCCGTGGGAGCAAGGTCTAAAATCTGCAATCTAGGCATGGCTGTATGCGATCTAGAGCTCTGGAAAAAGGATGATGAACATTAGAGGGGGAAATGCCCTATTAGGTATCCCAGCTCCCCTAGGCCAGAGCAGGATTGGTCCCGAGTCACTTCTCCAATGCTCTGAACAGTCTAGTTGGAAGTGACTCGGGCAATGACGCTTCCACCGTTGTAATCCCTGGCTTTTGTAATACATCGCCGCATCCCTCTGGAGACTGCTCCAGGGCCTGTCACAGCTCCCTCTCAGAGTTTTCCTGAACATCTTTGCAATGGTTCTCCCCCCTGCCTCAAGAAGCATCGTTGCACCCAAGTCCCTTCACAGAGCGATCCCACTTCGGCCTTTGTAGGTCTGTCTGAACTCCTTCCTGTTTCTCAACACCTTTCTGGTCCCAAGGTGCTGATCAGTTTTGGGCTGTACCCATAGTACCTTTCCCAGCATTGCTGTCATTGGTGCAGCTCCCCAAGGGTATGTCTACAAAGCAGTGTAAACCGGGCTTGAGCCTGGCTCAAGCCGAATCCCCCTTGCGTCCACACACCAATTGTGCTAACCCTGAGGCTTGAACCTAGGGTCCCAGGACCCTGCAGGGCTGGAGTGTCCAATCCCATTTTAAGTTGGGACGCAGGGTCCGAGCCCTATTGCTTTCCTGTGAGCACATGGCGCTGGCTTGACTCGGGTCCCAGAAGTCCTCCGGATGTACCCCAGAGTTCCTTGGAGAAACTTCCTTAGTCCTCTTTATGCCGACAATCTGTGGAGCTGTCTATTGCTCTCTATTTGGAACCCACACTTCCCTTTGCTGACCTGAACTCCTGCTATTTGCATTAACCCATTATCTCAACAGTCTGCAAGTACACTAAGAGAGACCAATCAGAAAAAGCTTTTTTGCAAAGGGAGCTGCTTCCTGGTAACAAGAGCACAGCCAGATTTTGGTGAATCTGTGGGCTGAGGCCAGTAACACTTTGGACTTCAGCAAAAGCAGAAGGAATGACTGTGCACGCCAGCAGGTAGCTAAAATGCTGGTAGCTCTGCTCAGCAGAGCCTGGCTGCTCCCGCTCCCTGCAGGGCAGCCCCCTGATCCCCGCTCCCCACTACCCTCCCTGAGGCTACATGGGCAGGGGCACTTGGGTAGCATGCACTGTTAGGGTGGCGAGTGGGAGCCAGCCCCAAAACTTCCCCACAGCCTCCACTCATGGCAGCTTCAGCTCCGACTCCTCCTTGCTGCCATGCAGAGTTTGCCCAGAGCAGGGAGCAAAGCTGACAGACAGGAGGCAGCTCCCGGCTTCCAGGATGTTGGGCATCATCCTTCTTGTTATCATGAATCATTAAAAGAATCTGAATTTAAAAATGCATGTTAATATCACCTCTGCAGATCATTAAACCTCCTTTTAAACAGGAATTGTGGCACCTCAATCGTACTCTGATATATGCATCAGGAACCCAATGAGAGAACCCTGGCCTTCACTTTTTATCATGCTATGATGCTGTGTTTTTTTTTTTTTTTTAGTTTGGCATTTCACTCAGGCAGGATGATGAAAATGAAGCTAGTCAGTTTTATTAGTGGATTCATGGACCAACATAAGGCTATGCTATTTGGATTGCAAATGCTGTAAGGGAACATTTAATAAATGTTATTATTATTATTATTATGTTATTATTGTTTTGGCTGATCAAAACCACAGACTTATCAGCTGAATTAAAAATAGTCACAGACATTCCTGTTGATTGTAGGTTGTGTAAAACCCTTGATCTGACAGTGTCCTTTGAGTGACCATCAGTTCAGTTATAGTCACTAGCTTCATGGTCATGCTATGATTTGTTTGTTTAAAGTAAGGACATGAGCCATGAGTGACACTCGTTTAAAATATTTTAAAGGTATTTAGGCATCTAGTGGGATTTTCAAAAGCACTTAGGGCTCCTACCCCCAGTGCCCTCAAGGGGAATTGGGCACCTAGATCCGTTTGAAAACCCCACTGGACACCGAAATAACTTTTTAAAATGTAGTCGCTGGGAACCGCCCAGAACCCACCGCTGCACTGGGGCAACCTGCTCAGAACAGGGGAGAGACCCCACCGGGAGCGCTGAGCTCCGAAGGGGGCAAACCCCAAGGCAGGGGAGGAATCGCGCCGGGTGGCGGCGGGGGGGGCCCGACGAGCAGAGCCAGACCGGAATCGGTCGCAGCCTCAGGAGAAGCGCCCCGGCAGCCAGGTCTCCGGGCCTCCCAGGGGAGACCATGGACGCGCCACGACGCGAGTCAGCCAGAAGGGGGGGAGCGGGAACCCCCGAAGCCGCCCGGCCCCAGGCTCCCCGCGGGCCGCGCCGGAGCTCCGGGCAAGCCGGGGCCGCCGCTCTCGCCACGGCCCGGCCGGCCCCGAGAGCTCCGCCGGCTCTGCCGTGGGGACGCGGCCGGGCGGCGGGCGAGCGGCACGGGGCTGCCCGCCGGGCGGCCGGAGCCCGGGCCGGCGAAGCCCCGCGGCTCACCCAGGCCTGGTGCTGCTGCTCCTGCTGCTGCAGCTCGTTCTCGTCCACGCAGGGCCGGTCCAGGTTGAACCAGAGGGACTCGGTGACGCGCGGGAAGAGCGAGGGGAAGAGCGTGGACATGGCGGGTCACACCCGGGCGGGGCTGCAGGAGCGGGGGGGGGCGGGGCCGCGGGGGGCGGGGCTTCCGGGGCCGCTCCGGAGCCGCGCGTGGGTCACGCGGAGCGGCACGTGCCGGCTCCACTCACCGGACACCAGAGCTGGGCCGGGAGCGCTGCGGGGGGGAGGGGGGGGGGGAAAAGGGTTGCGTGACCCGGAAGTATATCCTCCTGCGCGCCGGAAGTGACCGGGTGGGAGTCGGCAGCCCCTCCTTTCACGCATGCGCCGTGCTCGGGGAGGCGCCCTGACTGTAGCGAGAAATGGCCCCCCCCCGCCGGCGGGGCGTGTCTGTGGCAGGCCTGTCGCCGGCGGGGGGGCTGCGCGGGCCTGAGCCCCGCCCCTCCTCGGGCTGCGTCGCTCAACTCGGGTCCGCGGACGGGCGGGGGGGGGCCGGAAGCGCCTGTCAGGGGCGGCACCGGCGGGCGGAAGTGGGGCAGGTCCCGCCCCTCCCCCCGCGCTGCGCGTGCCGGGGGCGCTGTGAGGCGGGGTTACAGTCCCGGCGCGGGGGGGCCGCTCCCGCGCGCAGGGTCCCGCGGCACCCGGGCTGGGCTCGGGCGGGAATTCCCCCGCCCCCCGCCGTGAGAGATGGGGAAACTGAGGCAGGGGGCGGTGACCTGGCCGCCGGCCAGCAGCCGCACCGAGCTTTGACCTCGGGCCCTTCCGAGCCCGGCTCTGCCTCGCTCCTCACGAGGCCACGGTGAGGGTCGCCGCTGGTGGCCCTCAGAGCCGGGGCCTGAGCCCGCGGGGGGGGCTGTGTCGGTTATTATCATTCCCGGGGAGCCCGCTGTGAGCCGGCCCGGCCTGACCCTCGCTGGGGGCGGGTCCTGCTCCGAGCCGGGGGCTGGAGGCCCCCTGAGGTCCCTGCCCGCCCTGTGGCCCGGGCCTGAGCGGCCTCCACCAGGAGCTGGGCGGCCCGCTGGTATTTTAGAGGTGGTATTTTATTCATCGCGACGGGGGCTGCCACCGAGCAGCAGTTGGCCAGTGAAAGAGTTAACGGTGTTTTCTTACTTCGGCTAAGTTCCTTTTCTGTTCCGTAGCCAACCCCAGCAAAACGTTACGGCTGCCAGAAAATACCAGCGCGCTCCGCCGACGGCCCGCGGCCACGGCGATTGTGCAGTGCACCCCCGTCAGGGCCCTGGGGAGCTGTAACACGGCAATCCGGGGACATGGTAAAAGTTCGTCGTGGCTGGCAACTGGTGGCTTGTGTGCAGAGGGCGTGGACTGTGTCGAGACCTGGTGCGCTCAGATGCAAGTGAGCCAGGTGCACCCAGAGAGTCGTGGTCTACTGAGCTCGGCATGAGCAAGGAGCTGTATTCCCTACTTCCCGGGCGGGTGTTGGAGATCCGTCAGTTAATAAAGTGCTTTTGACAATCCGGGCTAGTTATGAATAAATACCTTGGCTCATTCGGACAGAAACAGGCCCATGGGGTTTACAGTGCTGTCCTTTCAGATTCGGGCAGCCCCACTGGATTTGCAAGATTAGGAAGGCACGATGCCTAAGGGGATGGTGTCTTGTCCAGAATGCTCTTTACTCCCGTGAGATGATTGTGGGGCTTGAATGTCCTGCGGTGGACAGCTGGGATGAGGCAGGATGGTGCAGTGGTTTGGGCCCCTGTCTCTGGCCTGACGCAGCCCTGCTAACTCCTGGGAGATCCCAGTCTAGTGGAAAGAGAGCCTGAGACATGAGGCCCGGTGTGAGAGACACAGTATGAGGCCCAAGGTTTGAACTAAAGTAGGTTTCGAGCCCTGCTGCTATGAAGCAAAGGTCGTAAGAGTCAGGCTGTGAGCAGAAGTCAGGCCCTGTTATAAAACATGCCTGCTTGCAAGTTCACAGAACCTGGCAAGAACAAGGCTGGTATTGCAAAAACACAAACATTCCTGAGAAGTGCTAAGCACAGGCCACTTGTGATGCTCTGTACCTTCGGGGGGGGGGACGGACACCCAGCACCCCCACGGTCATCCTTATAATATGATTGTGTGGTATCCAGTGCAAAAATTAGTCATGTCAGGTGTCTTCGGAAGGCTCATGATGCACTGAGCATTGCTGTCATAGTAATGTTATAGGTTGTAATTTTTTTTTTGTTTGTTATGAGGCTGAAAATGTGTCCTCATGGCTTAAAACAAGCCCAGGCAAAACTCTCCAAGAGCAGAAGGGCAATTTACACCTCATCAGGGCAGGTATGGGACAAACCCAACCCAGCCCAGCCTCACAGGAACAAAGGACACTGGCCTAGGCAGCAACAAAAGATCTGTTGGACTCTCGAGTGAATCACCCTCCTTCCCTTGGTCAGTTTGGGACTGCGATGAGGTAATGCTCACCTGACTTTGAAGGGGGGGGGCAAAGCCAGGAGGGAAGAAAGAACATGATAAAAGGGAGAGACGTTTGCCAGGCTCTTCCTCCCTTTTTCACCTCCATCTACAGACACCACTACCAAGCCACTGAAGCATTGATCAAAGGGGAGAGCCTGGTTGAAGGGCAACCAGCCAGCCTGTGGTGAGAAGCATCTAAGTTTGAAAGGGCATTGAAAGTGTTACGGTCCGCTTAGAATGCGTTTTGCTTTTATTTCATTTGACCAAATCTGACTTCTTGTTTTTTGACTTCTAATCACTTAAAATCTATATTTTGTGGTTAATAAATTTGTTTGTTTCTTCTACCTGAAGCAGTGTGTTTGATTTGAAGCATGTCGGAGACTCCTCTTGGGATAACAAGCCAGGTGCATATCAATTTCTTTGTTAAATTGACAAACTCATGTAAGCTTGCCGCGTCCCGCAGGCATAACTGGACACTGCAAGATGGAGCTTCCTAGGGTTGTATCTGGGACTGGAGATATTGGCTAGTGTCATTTGGTTGCACAATCCAAGCAGCGGCTGGCCAAAAGTGCTCACTCACGTAACTGGGAGCAGCTTACATGCCAGAGGCTGTGCGTGACCAGCCCAGGAGTGGGGGTTCTCGCAGCAAAGCAGGGTAAGCCTGGCTCCCAGTGTCAAGGATTGGAGTGACCTAGCAGATCACCGGTCCAGATAACACCAGGGGAACGTCACACCACTCACGCAAGCACATTCCAGCAGTGTGGTACCAGAACACCCCGATACCTAATACGGTACAAACACACTCCTCAAAGATAACAGGAACATGCTGACCCCTCTTAAAGATAAGGTCAGGATGACAGGGTGATGGATAGAAATGTTCTCATTGAACCAACATGTACAAGGTGATGGGTGGTAACTAACCGCATCAGAGAGGCAACACTTAACTTGTTTGTATCGAGGTATAAAGAGGTCTCAGAGGGGGTGTCTTTGTCTGGCCTGGCGGGAATGGAAAGTCCCACCATTCACAGGGCTGGTCCATTGTAACGGGCATACATGGCTCAGTGGTTCTGTAGAGTCGACAGGATACTAGGACCGTGTGTCATCAATAATAGACCCGGCCAGGCGCCTTCGCTACTGAAACGGATCTGTGGTTTTATTGGGCCGTTTGGTCGAGGTGTGCCGCGTCGGCTGTCTGCGCAGAGCTAGGGCAGCACGCTGAAAGACCACACGTACACGCCGCCAATGACTGACTACAGCCCGGGCAGGGAGGTTTTCCACAACCCAGTCATTTCGTGACACAGTTTCACAAAGTCACCCCGAGGTCAGAAGCGATGCAGCCAGAGCCACCAAATCGTCACCAGCCGTGCCCCTGGGGGGTGGCTCATGCCTCGTCCCTTCGTTTCCGGCACCCGTGTGACTCCTCACTATGCCAACTGTGGTGGTGCCTGGCTTTTTTGACAGGTGAGGAACAAATCACAAAATACCGATTCCCCCCCCCCCCATGAATAATGTAATAGCTACTTAGAAGGAAGAAGCAGCAGGCAGACCTGGAAGCAGGAGTTGCCGCTGCTACTCAAGTTGGCGTGGCTGGGGGAGCATGAGGTGGCCCCGGGGTTTTGGCATCAACTCCTTTTGCCCATGCATGGGGCCCATTGAGGACGTGCCAGCCCCATCTCTGCCCGCTGCAAACTCCATGCAGCCCAGGCTTAACTGCTGCAATCCTGCCATGGCTCACCAAGTCGTGGTTACGCAGCAGCGCCCCGATAAAGTGACTCCTGGGCGTGGTGAACTGCCACAGTAACAAGGCAACTACGAGAGGTGCTATACCAAGATTTGCACCTCACACAGCCCCACATGCTTTGAATTTTGGGGAGTGGCATTTGGCTACTGCAGAGAGTGAGTTGTGACATTTAAATCCACCCCGAATTTGCCCTTAAATCTGTCGATATTTATCAAGTCAATTAAAAACAAGCGAACATGCGAAATGGATGTTGTGGCTTTTGGGAATTCTTGGGTGGGCTGCACCTCACTTGCTTGGGCTGACGAGCCGCCCTTGCCAGACATCCAGGGGTGCTGCCCTTGAGAAGATCAGCAATATTGCTAGCTGGCCAGGAGCGTAAAGCCCAGTGGCCAGAGACCATTAAGGAAAATAAAACTAACCCTGGCAAAGGACTGACACACCAAAAAATATAGCAGAGAGGGGGACTTTACTGGGAAGAAAAAGCAGGACGAGCTGCATTCCCTGAAGACACTACGCAACCAGCTTACCCGGGGGCAGCTTGTACTTGTCCTCTGATTATCCCAATTCCTGTATATGTGGAAGCGGAGACAGGATGAGCTCTACCCTGACATCTGGTGGCGAGTCGTGGCGGGTTGTGGAAAAGAACTCCAGGGGGTGATCTCATTTGCACACCCACCCCGCCTAGATGGTCACTTTGGCTGCTGTGGGATCCCCAGTTTCTCTGCTATTGGAACGGACCCCCTAGATACTGAACCCGGCCCTTGTTGTGCCAACTCTGACGGGCAGAAGGGTTACACATGGAAACATAGCTTTTAGCAAATCCCTTCTCTGTAATCAGCTGCAGTGATTGCCCTGAAGTTCTCCGAGTGAATTACTCCTGTCACTTTATCAGGTACTTTTGCTCGTGTGGTAACATCTCTGGAGTGAAGATAACCAGAACCGCTTTTGCTTTGATGGCGTTTTCCTCACGCAGAGCTCAAAGGTGAGCAGGCCAGCCTGCCCGTCAGTCAGTCCGGGGCTCTAATGCCTAGCTCACTGGGCCTCATGTATTCCCCATTGTGTGACTACAGTGTATCCAAGGGATTCGAAGTGGTGTCCACAGAGTAGCTGGGAGAGATGCAATATGGCCTAGTGCCCAGGGGGCTGGGCTGGCCTGGCCTGGCCCAGGCTGTAGAAGTCCTGGTTTCACATCGCAGCTCTGGCAGGTGACAGTGTATGAGTCCTACTGTGCTACAACACCTCCCCACAGCAAGGCTCTCTGATCTGTACTGGGGCTTCCCAGGTCGATGCAAACACAGGCTAGGTACAGTCTTCAGGTGAGTGGGTTATTTACTGAAAGATTAGAAGGAAGGTGCTTGAGCAAGAAGTCCTGTGACTCCTTTATCTCACATGAGATGCAGAGCAAAGGAAAAGTGCCCAGGAGCTTAGATTCTCTTTATAATCATTGGCCAAAGGTTGATCACACATCTGACCTTTGAAATGAAGAGCTGAATTGTCTTCTTCCAGGACTAGGCTGCCCTCCAGGCAAACACACCGAGCTCCTTGTCTGAAGGTAATGAGCGCAGATTAAAACTCTGAAGGTAATGAGCGCAGATTAAAACTAAGCCTTGTTAACCACAGCACCCCAGTTGCTCAAAAGCGTTCAGAACTGGGGAACTTTGGTATTAACTCCAGAGGCATAGCGGCTTTGCTAAGCAGTTGCTTGAAGCTACTGAGAAGAATTTGTTTGGTTTGACCTTTCTGTAAGGTATGTTCCCCTGATGTTTTAATGTGTTTTTCTGTTGTGATCAAGGCTGGCTGGTGTCTTATGTCTAGAGTTTAGGTGTAAATGTAATTAGCTTTGACAATGCTTTTTGCATCTACAAGGGTGGAAGTTGCTTCCAAACTGCAGGCTATGTATGCTTTGTTCCTGTGGTTTGCATATGGGGAGCTTTTAGGCATATAAGCCTGTTGTAGGGAGGTGGCCCTTAATCTGTAGTTTATAGGCTAGTACCTGAAGATGAAGGAAATCACTTAATGCAGAAAAAGGGGAGCCTGACAAATATATATATATATATTTTTTTTTTTTTTAAAAAAAGGAGAGGGGGCAATCTAATAGTGTTGCTCTCAGGTCTTCTATCGTCTGCCTTCAAAGGGCTGTAGAAACTAGCTCAGGGTATGCAGAGGCCAGTAACCTAAAATGAAAAGAAATAATTTTTACTCTTTCCCTTTAAAATTCCCCTGTGAACTGTCTTTTGTGAGTTTCACATGCTCTTCTGGCTTGTGATCCTTACAGCATAACATTGTGCTAGTGTGTAACTGACTAGTCTGGGTTCCCTGTCCCAGCTGAATGGAAGGTAACAGTAACCAGACAGTGCTAGGTGTAAGGTAGTGACTTAGTTTCCCTCCCCACCCCAGTTAAAGGGCTACTAGAATAACTGATTGATAAATTAGAGCTGGCTAAGAGAAAAGCCCCAGGAGTGACTCAAGGACAGGAAAACCTGCCTCACACAGAGAGACTCCAGGAGCTAGATCTGTTTAGTTTAATTAAGTGAATGCTAAGGCGTGACTTGATTGGTTCCCAAGTACTTACATGAGGAACAGAAATGTAATAATAGAGAGCTCTTCTGTCTAGCAGAGAACGGGCTAACACAGTCCAATGGCTGGGGAAGTTGAAGAAGATAAATTCAGACGGGAAATAAAGTGTAAATTTACAACAGGGAGGGTAACTAACCATTCCAACAATTTACCAAAGGTCATGGTGGATTCTCCATCACTGGCAACTTCTAAACCCAGACTGGCTGTTTTTCTGAAAGATCTGTTCTTGTTCGAGCAGGAATTAATTCAGGGCAGGTCTCTGGCCTGTGCTATACAGCAGGTGATCACAAGGGCTGAATGATTTACAAATTCTGCTTCTCCCCCTGTGTCAGCTTGAGGGGTTCCAGTCTCGTGCTATGGTTGCCTGCGTTTCAAGAGCACTGAGATGCATTAAGCAGTGTCCCCATCTGTGACAGGGGTAATGCCACAGGAAGAAGTGATAGGGCCTGGTGTTGGGGCCTGATTGATTTCTCTCCTAGCCCAAAGGCCGGGGCGGGGGAGTTGGAGCTGAAGGTTACAGGCATGACTATGAATTTGTATAGGGTAACAATCTGCAGTGCATAGAGTCTGTGCAAAGACCTGCCCGTGGGAGAGCTGACGGTCAGCGTCTGTGCTTAATCTTTTCCCCAGCTTTGGGAGGAGACTCGCCCCTACCTCACAGCGGGCTGGACAGCTGAACATGCTAATGTTCAGAAAGAGATTTGGCTGGCTCTGATACTGGCGAACAGCAGCTGGCCAGGAATCCACTGGCTCAAACCCAGTGGCGCTCAACCCCGTGAATCTCTGGGCAAGGGTCGGGTTATGCAACCAGGAGCAAGTGTCTGGTGCTGTAATACAGAGGGAATGGAATGGAATGAATACACCCCTGGGTGGGCGGTGGGTGGAGAGGAGCTCATAACTAGGGTGGAGACCAGCAACTCTTGAGGCGAGACTGTGGGTGGTCAGCCCAGAGCATCTACTGAGACTTTCAAGACAAACGAGAAGTCAAAAAGGTGGGTGCATCACTTGTGTCTCACTGAGATGCCT